CACCGCCTCGGGGCCCACCTGCTTCTCACTCAGGAGGTAGATGTGCTGGTGGTCGGGGCTGAAGAGCAGGTCTCGTAGTATGGGGCTGCCGTCCACCACGGGCACTGTCTCATACAGGTGGGCGTCCTGGGAGCCATCAACTCGGACCTGAGGCCACAAGACCGGGGAAGAGAGACGACAAGCCAGTCTGAGGCCACAGCAGCACCCCATGCGCCCCCGGGCATCCTCCTCTAGGGCCTCTAGGGCAGGGGACTTCCCAAGTTGTGGCTGAGCTGAAGCCAGGGCGTGGCTCAGCACTTGAACTTTCCCTGACCCCGGGATCCCCAGGGCCAGGGGACGGAGGGCTCAAAGGCCAGCCCCTGGAGGTCCTTGGGGTGACTCAGCCAGCCAGAAGGAGATAGAGACAGAGATATTATTGATGTCCAGGGATGGGGGACAGGGGTGACATCCAAAGGGGAAGAGGTTTTTAGGGTGATGACAATGTCCTGGAATGAGACGGTGGTGGGGTGGTTAGGGTTGCGCAACTCTGCGAACTTACTAAAAGCCCTGGAATGTATGCTTGGAGCGGGGAAGTGTATGGGATGGGAATTATACCCCAAGGGAGCAGGCTCAGCCCAAGACCTCAGCAGCTCCCTTCAAAAGCCTTCCCCCAGTCACCGACACCTCCCCCGCCCCCCTGGGGATAGCTCTGCAATTGCCTGGCAAACAGGATGAGGAGCAGAAGCCGCCCTGACTCCTGTCCCTTTAGGACATGCCAGAGGTCCCAGGGGCTCATCTCCCCATTTCCCACCAGCCCCGGTCCCTGAACAGTAGCAACTGAGGCCCCACTGCACAGGAATGGGCAGGAGGGCAAAGACGATTATGTCCACATTCATTTGACTAAGGATCTAGCAACGATGACTAAACCACGGCCACCTGCTCTCCTTGCAGGGACGCCCCAAGATAGGTCTGGTCTCTGTTCCCACAGCCCTAGCAAGCAGGCGATTCAGGCCAAAGTGAGCATGGGTGCTGGTAGGGGTGGATGGCTGTGGGGGCTGCCCATGGATCCTGGCCAGGCTCCTGGGGCCCAGCCTGGGAAGTCCCCCTTCCCCTACGGGCTGTTGTACTGTTCAGGGTCTCACAGGGTTCGTCTGCACATTCTTGTCCCTACCCCTCATCCCGTATCTCAGTCTGCCCCCATGTCTACATGCCAAGGGGGCCAGGGCGTACCTTCTTCAGACTGCCGCTGCGTGTGCCGATGAAGACCACGGAATGCTGGTGGTAGGTGTAGGCGGCCACACTAGCCATGCCATCAGTGCTGTCCGCCAGCAAGGGCAGCCCCTCGATCACATGCAGGCCGCCCAGCGGCTGGTTCAACACTAGCCCGCAGAAGTTCCCATTTATCTGCATGGGCTGGGGAAACAGCAGGAATGCATGTGAGAGTTGAAGCTTGGGGGACAGCAACTGGACAGAGGCCACAAGACCCCACATTAGGGAAGGGAGCAGGATCTGAAAGTTGTTCCTCACCAGCTAAGACTAACCCCTTGCCCTGGACCCCACAGGAAATTGGGGACCGAGGAGGTAGATGCAGGAAGGAGATGGAGGAGGGAGACGGATGGTGGAGGGAGAGGATGTAGGAGCAGAAAAGGAGAGGGAGGCTTGGGCCTGCAAGTGGTTGACCTATGAACCAGGAGGTCATGGTTCAATTCCCAGTTAGGACACGTGCCCAGGGTTGCAGGTTTGATCCCCAAGGTAGGGTATACAGGAGGCAGCTGATCAATGATTCTCTCTCAACATTGATGTTTCTGTCTCTCTCTCCCTCTCCCTTCCTCTCTGAAATCAATAAAAATCCTATCTAATAAAGAGAGAATATACTAATTGGCCCTTATGCTGTTGCAAAGATGGTGGCGTCCACAGCCAATAAGGAGGGAATATGCTAATTGACTGCAAGGGAGGGCAGTTGGGGGGGACCAGGACTGCAGGGGAGGGCAGTTGGTGGCAACCAAGCCGGTAGGGGAGGGCAGTTGCGGGGGACCAGGCCAGCAGGGGAGGGCAGTAGTGGGCAATCAGGCCAGCAGAGGAGGGCAGTTAGGGGCGACCAGGCCTGCAGGGGAGGGTAGTTAGGGGTGACCAGGCTGGCAGGGGAGGGCAGTTGGGGGCGATCGGGCCTGCAGGGGAGCAGTTGGGCGTCAATCGGGCTGGCAGGGGAGTGGTTAGGGGTGATCAGGCTGGTAGGCAGAAGCGGTTAGGGGCAATCAGGCAGGCAGGCAGGCGAGCGGTTGGGAGCCAGCAGTCCTGGATTGTGAGAGGGATGTCCGACTGCCAGTTTAGGCCCGATCCCTGTGGGACATCCCCCGAGGGGTCCCAGATTGGAGAGGGTGCACTGGGCCTCTAGTGTATATATAAAAAAGAGATGGGACAGGCTGGCAGACTGTCACTAACTCAGTGAGGGACACCCAGGAGATGCAGCAACAAGCAGCAAACTGGGGATGGGTGGAGGGGCAGGAAAAGGGAGGCGTGGTCCACAAGTATAGCGTGGCCACCAAGAGAGCTGGTGAGAAGGCAGGCAAGGGGAGGAGGAGGAGCAGCAGATGCAGGGAGAGAACGAGAGAGGACAAGCGTCCCTGAGAGTGAGAAGCGGATGTGCCAGGGCTGAAGCCCGCTGTGCTCACAGTGTTGATGCAGGGCAGCTCCTTGTTGAGCAGCCAGGGCAGGGCCAGGGTGCCCTCCCCCCGATAGCATGACTGGATGCGGCGCCGGATGTGAGCATTGATGGTGCTGAGGGTGAAGAGGCAGAGCACGGTCTGCCGGGGCGGGCTGGCCCGGTTCTTCTGGCCCTGTGAGAAGATGGTGAAGAGGACGTCCTCGTCAGCCGGCACACCCAGGGCCTGGGCCAGCAGCAGGCCGGGCTTGGCCAGGTGCGCACTCTGCACCAAGCGGTACTCCACGCCGCGCCAGGAGCAGCCGATGGGAAACTCCACGTAGGAGTAGAACTCCGAGTCCCCGGCGCACATGCGCACGATCTTGGACGTGAAGAATTTCTCGCCTGCTGTGTCCAGCAGTGTCTGCTGGGTGTCCAGCTGCAGCGTCAGGAAGTACACGAAGGAGGCGCTCACGAAGCCGTAGATGTAATAGATGTCAAAGGCGGGGTACAAGGACAGGGTGTCCGAGGGGATCTTGATCTGCGAGGAGACAAACTCATCCTGGTACACCTGGAGAGCAGGTCGAGGAGAGAGCATGGGGTGAGACCTGGCTCTGTCACCTACCTCCCAAACTCTGGCCTCTCAGCCCCTAAACATGGTTCCCCCAGGGCTTCCCTCATGACCTCCCCCCACTCCCCCCAAACACACAGTCACAGGAGCCCAGAGCAGCCCCATCCTGTGCCTCAGCCCATCCTTCTATCTTCGGGAGCTTGTCCCCTCTAGGACCTGGGCTCTCCCAGAGGTGGAGCCAGGACAGAGTGAAGGCAGGAGGGACACAGGTGCTGGCTCTCGAGGGGCAGGAGAGGCGAGGGGAGGAGGGTGAACAGACAGGCAGGCTCACCCACCAGACTAAACATGTCGGCACTGTCCTCGTCACTGATGAGCTTGCGGGAGCTCAGGGTGGGGAAGTACTCAGACTTGCCGTCCACGGCGGTGCCCACAAACAGCTTGCTGGGCCCCTGACCCTGCTCCACGATGACCCCGGCCATGGAGTCGGGCTCCTGGGCCCCCGAGAGGTAGTGCTCTTTGCGGTGGTGGGGCTCGCCCAGCTTGAAGAGGTCATCCAGGCGCAGAAACTGGCAGATGCCTTGCCAGATGCTGCCGCAGGCCACCAAGCGGCGGGCAGCGTAGTCTATGAGAAGCAGCTTGTTCACGTTGTCCACGGGTGCCAGGCGGTGGGTGCACACACGCATACTGGGCGGTGGGTAGCAGCGAGCATTGTCCTCCACGGGCCCCGTGACGTGGGCCCGCAGCTCAGTCAGGTTGGGGGCCAGCTTGAAGACTCGGTTTACTGCCCCCACAAATACCTCCCCGGTCACCCGGTGCACAGCCAGGTGGGTGAGTGTGGTGTCTGTCACTGAGAAGGCAGTGAAGGGCCTGCTGCCACCCAAGGCCCCCCCCATGGCAAGGAGGAGCAGCGGGAGGAGGCAGACAGTGGGCATGGCCGGCGGCTGCGCTCCGGGAAAGAGCCTGAGGAGAGATGGGGAGTGCCAAGTAAGAGGCCCCTGGCCCAGGCTGCAAGCTCTTTTTCTGCCCCGGGACCCCCAGCAGGGTAAGCTCCATGCCACAGTCGGTGGGAGTCACTCATTCACCCACCACCATGCCAGAGCCAGAGCCCCAGATGGTGAACTCGGCTGGGAGAGGAGGGGCCTCCAGCAGGGCGCGTGAGTGAGCAGTGAGCACAGGCAGGCTTGGGGGCCATCAATCATCCCCCCCCCCCACCAACCCCCCACCCCTGGAAAGGAGCCAGGAGGCCTCGCCTCAACTGGGCCACACCCAAGGGGGCAGCAGAGCCAGATGCTGGGAAAGGCAGGGCGGGAGGCCCTCCTGGAATGAGACCCGAACACCAGATCCCAGAGCTGAGGGCGGCTAACCACACACAAGAGCCACAGTAGGCAAACCCCAGGCCACAGAGACGCCCCACGCCCAAGTTGGGGGAAGGGGAAAGGCAGGGAGAGAACAATCACAAGCGGGGGGTGGGTGGAGGGGAACACCATTCCAGAGTGGCATTGCCACCAGGGGCCTCAGGACAGAGGTCTGGGGCATCAAGGCCTAAGACTGGACCCACACCACCACCACACTCCCAGTCCTGGCCTCCTCACCCCGAGGGCCTCCCTCAGCCGGCTGTCCAGGAGCCTGCTGTCTGGCCTACCGATCGCAACACAAAGCCAAGTCTCGCCTGCTCTCCCCCCCCCTCCCCAACCAGGCACCACCGAGACAGACATAAGTCAGGCTCTGCTCAGGCACAGCCAGATGGCCCGGGCAGCCCTGTGCGGCTCTCCTTCCAGACCCAGAGGTTAGCTGGGGAAGAAGAGGTGCCAGGGGGCCCAAGGAACCCCATGAAAGGGGATCATAGTCCCCAAATAGAGACTTTGGGGAAATGGAGTAGGGGCTGTAAGGACCCAGCTTGCCTGAGTCTTCACCCCCAGGCCACACCCAGCTCCCCTGCCAAATCCAGGTGGCAAAGATAGCACAGCAGTGTCATAGCAGCCAACGGGGGCAGCCAACACGGCAGGGCTCAGCGCTACCCTCTCAGTGCCCAAGCCCCAAGGGAGACGCAAGGTACCCAGCTTCAGGGAGGGGGAGGGCCGGGGGTGTGTGTGCCAGGAACCAAACCAAGGAGGTGCAGAAGAGAGAACAGAAAAAATGCATTTGCTAGAACAAGGAGCAGGCCCAGCTTGAAACTGCAAAGTTTCAGCTCAGACTGATCACCTTTCCAGGGCTCTTTTGTCAGGTCCGCATCCTAGACCCCTAATGCAACAGCCAGAGAAGAAAGAAAGGCGAGAGAGAAGAGAGGCCGCCGCGCACCCTCACCTCCTCCACACCCCGCAGGAACACAAGCATAGGAATGGGGGCCACGACAGGTCGGGAGGAAGACCTGGAGAGGCAGGATTTGCATCCCAAGCACCCCATTCCAACTTCCACCTGTAAGTGGGAGCCTGGGGCGTCACACGCACGCACACCCCTCTGCTACAGCCCAGGCAGCAGAGCCCGAGGAGGAGACCGCCCCTCGCAGAGACATGGCTCCAGCGCCCGTTCCCCGCTGCCCCCAATGCCCCCACCGTGCTGTTCGCCAGGCTCGCCCTGCCCCCCAACCAGGGGCACCCCTCGGCCGACCCACGGGGACCCTAGTGGATGGAGGCGCCACAGCAGTCCTTGGAGAGGCCGCTCCTCCGCCACAAAGGGTCCCCATTGGGTAGGGGGGCTGGGCTCGTGCGGGGCACGGAGGACCAGTCAGGCCTGCGCCCAAGGAGCTGGAGGAAAGGCAGAGCCCCACCCCCTCCAGGC